GTGGATACTATATTGAAAAGGTTGAATGCATTGCAACATGGATCCAAACCAGCCAAGGCATTAAGCCATTACATGATGCCTTCTGCAATGTGTGTCACAACACATTTTTCCACTTTGCAGTTCTGTTGTCTCCTTTCCCAAAGCTAATGACCTCTACATAGGCAAAATTTAAATTTCCAGAATTGTTGACCTAGATGGCCAACACCATCTGTAGCACAGTAGTTCAAGAAAAGTGCTCTTCCAGCATATGTGGAAAAGGCCTCCTCAGATCTACTGCAAAGATGGAACTATGTAAAAGTGTAGAACTATGTAAAACTGACTAGCCCTAAAAGCTCAAGTTCTAACAGGTTATAACGGCTAATTTTCCCAATTTTTTCAGAGAGCCTTCAATATGAGCATATCAGTTTGGTGAGAAGAGGGCTGGGGCCATAGCTGTGAACATTAAAAAAAATGTTCTGCGTACTGTATAAAACAGGGGACTCTTTTAGGTACATTAGAAAAGATCCTATAGAAACAACCCAGATTTACTTATCTTTTTTCTGACAGTTATGTAAAACAATATCACTGAATAGCCCTGTACTAAGAGGAATACCAGATAAGACAGTCATCTTCTGTGGATTATGATGTATTTTAAATTCAGATGGAAGCAATTAAGAAAAATCAAGTCTGTGGCTCTCCCAAGTTGTATTAAATCAGCAACAAGATATTCCAATGCATGTGATAAGCACATACTTAAGTGTTTGAATTCCACAAGTGGGCACTTATGCAAGCTCCATAAACTAAAGTAGCTTAGTGTCTAACACTGGCCACATTCCCAGTGCTGCTTTGCTGTCCTCCCATCCTGTCCTCGAGCTGCAAGAAATCACGCTGCCTTAAACTGCACTGTCCACACACGCACATTCGCACCGTGCAATGGGTCTGTGTTGTGCAGTCCATACAGCTGTAATGCACAACATTCCAAGGGTGTGATGGTGAATCTGCTATTTCCCCTGCTGGAATTCCAGCCCCATCCAATCCATCTGCTGTAGGAAAAGTCTCCTCCACTTAGCATGCACAATGCTCTGGTTATTCCATACAATGCATTGTTTTTCTTCTTTCTTTCCTGTTGGAACATCAACCATCTGATTGTTTATTATCATTCCTTAAGAATTGGCCATTCAACATTTCAGCCACTAGGAGACAGCAAAGGGCCAGGGTTTTGTGTCCCCTGCAGCCATCTAGAGGCCTGTCCAATTTGTGCAGCTGAGATGCAATTTCTGTATAAGTGTTGTTGAAAGCTGAAGTTTGAGAAGGGGGTCTTGCTGAGGGAGCTGAAAACTACCCTAAGAACATTATGTGAGAAGTGGAAACAAGGAGCAGCCACCACTGGGAAGGGAATTCCCTTCCAGAGAGGCTAAAGAAATGCTACAGTCAAGTCCTTTCAATCACACATTCAGATATTGAGCTAAGCCAGGGACAGACTACTCAATTTCACAGCTTCATGCTTTCCAAAAGTTGACCAGACCATTTAAAATAAGAAAATGATATGGCTGCAGAACCTTTTTCAGATTCAAATCCAGATGTATTTAATTATGGCCAATGACCAGCAAGGCAAGCTTGGATTCCACCAAGCCCCATCAGACAGAGCTGCGTGAGTTGGGTCTAGAGATGGATCCAAGGGCAAAATGCTTATTCAGCTAAATCAGGACAGGCAGCAAGTTCAAGGACCTGATGGAAAGGGGTGGTCCCACAACAGGCCTGCCGAACCAACAGGGGCCAAGCAGATTGCTGCCCATGATTGTATCACCTCAACTCTCCTCCCTGGATTGTCCAGGGATGGAAGGTCCTAAGTTGAGATAAGAAGGAAAATGTCACTGCCAGAACAGCACCCCTAAAGCCATCTTGGGGCTGCCTCAGCTGAAGGGGATAGTCACTAGCATGAGGATGTATCTTCTGGAAACAGTTATTAGGGCTTCTTCACATCAAGGCAAGGAGGCTGCATGAGATACAAAATATATTATTGACTGAGAATTGGCAGACTTTTCTCCTTGGTCTGGTTATCTGACCTCAGTAGAGTTTGATCTGGTCCACTTGTTCCTCCAAGTGCATCTTCCCTGCCTGAATGATCAGACTTAGTCTTGGAGATCTTCTCTGCCTTTCACTAGACCACCAAGCCCATCAGACCACTAGACCATCAGACAGAGCTGCGTGAGTTGGGTCTAGAGATGGATCCAAGGGCAAAATGCTTATTCAGAGGGTGGACCTACAATGTGTAATGAAATTTGCAATGATTTGTGTATGTGTATGTATACATGTGTATGTATATATGTGTGTGTGTGTGTGTGTGTGTAGATGTGTTTGAGTATGTGTTTGTGTGTATATACACAAACACACACATACATATATACATACTATCCCTAATTTAGGATCAGGAGTGTCCACAGGCTGTGGCCAAAAAAATCAAGATGGCGGCCACGATGGTCCAAAGCTTCACCTGTCCATGAGACTCATTAAAAAAAAAAGTGGGGCTTCAGTCACACTGTTGTACCCGTCATCTTGACTTTTTTGACCATCTATGTTATTCTGTTGGATTCCTAGCCAAATACAGAGTTCTCCATGAGTCGAACTGTTTTCTCAGTTGTCTGGGGGGTGAGGGGGCAAGAAACAGGGCTTTATCACCCCTTCCTCATCCTCACCATACTGCACCTGTTCTTAGACCTAGAAAAGAAGGGGAAGGGCCAGTGGGCAGGGGGAAATGGTGTAGTCCCTCTTTGGCTCAACTGATATTCATAGAAAAAAGAGCAGCACCTATGCAGTACAGTCTGCTGGGAGAGCCCCATCTGTTTTATAACCCTGTCTGTTTTGCAAAGGGGGTGGGGGAGGGATTCAGAATACTCAGATCCATTTCCCCTTCAAAGGAATGGAAAGATTTGCTGAGACTGGATATACTTAGTTACTTCTGAATGCCAATGTCAATGTACAAGCAGATGAGGGCCAAAAAATATATATCCAGAAGAGTGTTAGCTTGGAAAATTAGCCATTTGAAGCCTATGTATTCTAGCCTACAGTGTTTCTGTTTGATTTGACTTGGCTTATTTGGCTTAAAGGGGAATAAAAGCACAGTAGAATATCTCCTGGAGAACAGCTTCATCTTTATTATTTAAAATTGTACGTGAAAAGGGAGCTGAAATTACAAGCCTTAGCATGTTGGCAAATCTGCTTTGGATTGAGCAAGTTTTGCAGACTTTGTCCTAAATGTGGCAGCTTTGTGAATAAAGAAATATGGAGGAGGAGGAGGAGATATTTGGAATGCTGTTCTCTGTTGCCTGTGCTTCCTTTTGGTATATATGGTGTTTAAGACCTATGTTCTGAAACAAGTTAATTGACAAAGAAGTTCATTCTTAATTGTCAGTCATCCAGAATGGAGCAAACTCAAGTCCATTAACTTAGTCATATGATGAAATCTAACTGACTTCAGCTATCCAGTGCAGAAAAACACACAGAGAAAATGTTTACAAATTGAGTTTGTTTTTAAAACATCCCACCTTCATACTTAAAAAAATTAAACTATGGCAAATTAGTAGTAAAATACTTTCTCTTGGCTTTAAAAATCTGTACCTATATAAATCAGCTTCTTTTTAATGCCCTGCTGATATTGGTGGAAGTTAAACACATCCTTGACCCTAACCCAGCTTGGATTGTAGCAACATAACCTCAAAGAGAGATGATGGGTATGTTTGCCAAATTGTAATTAGACCTTCTCTCCCCAACCTGCAAGTAATAAAATGGAAGTTGTCTTGTTTGCAAGAACAGGGGAGAGAGGACAATTATAGAGTGACCAATAGACAAAGATGAGAACTTTAGTCTCTGGCTCTTCTGTGACAAGCTCAGAGTTTTTAGAGCTATAAAAAAGCCATGCTAAATTTGAACTCCAACTCTGATGGATCATATCCATGCAGCATGGAGCTTTATGAGCTGTTACAGCTTGATCAGATCCAGGTAGCTAATGATATTCTGAAATTTATTATTTTGGTAATTTTGATCTTAATTGTCAGAGGGGGGGCTTAACTGGGCTGTATTTTAATTAATCTAGATAGCCTCAGATTTTGACTGCCCCAGCACAAAATCTACCTGTTGACAAAGTTCTATCAAATTAAACAGCCGATGAAAGTGGAGAGCATCTACTAGAGCAAGCAAAACTTGGCCAGCAAAACTCCATCATACTTTGGCCAAGCTGGTTAACAATAAAAGAAATAGTTGTCTACCTAGAAGGTATCAACTTGGGGAGAAGTGATCTTGTCTCCCAGCTTGTGATGGAAAAGGGAGTTGCAAACTCATTTGCATGTTCAGTTGAACATGAAGCCCACAGGATCTCAAGTTACAAACTTTTGCAGAAAGAGCAGGGAGGCTATTTCCAAAACAGTTAATGTACATTCTTAATTTTACAAAGGAAAGGAGACAAGAGTTTGATTGTTGAAGTGAATGCAAGGAAAGAATGTGAAACTTACATACACGGCATGAGGATTAGCATGATTTTCAATATAATAAAAAAATAGATGCAAAGAGAATGGTAGTTTTGAAAAACTAGCATACTAGTGATCAGCAGAAAAAAATATACCAAGTTGGATTTTTTTCTAGATTTGGTGTAATGTTACTGAAAGTAAGTACAGTGGTACCTCGGGTAACAAATTGGTCCCGACCCGAATCAAATTTTCCCATAAGGTTCAATGTAAATACGGTTAATCCGTTCTGAACCATATGTTTTTTTTTTTTAAACCAAAAAAATATGACACAAAGTACAGTGCAGTACAGTATGAAGAGAGAGAACACTAACCTTGCTTGAGGCATGGAGGACAGGAAGGCGGGTGGGGAGGCGGTTATTGTTTTGAGGGAGAGTCCCCCTCCCTACAGGAAGCCACGACCACGTGTGTCAGCAGGGAAAATGGCTGCGGATCCTGTTCGTCACCCGATGTGGAGTTCGCGAACGGAAGCAAAATGTTGCGAACGGTGCTGTTCGTGACCCGAATTGGTCATGAACAGAAGCGTTCATGACCCTAGGTACCACTGTATATTAGAAGCTTCTGTTCGAGCCTATCTTTAAATCTATCCATGGATAAGTTTGGACAGAAGTTAGTTTTACTCAATACAAGTCAGTTTCAGTACTTACTGCATTAATACCAAGACTTCCACATGATTAGGATTGTATATACTTTTTTATTATTTACACTTAGACTCTTCTGCTTCCTGAATGAGGTTGCATGGAGCCCTTGATCATTTCCTGTCCTGACATTTGGAACAGGTTTAACCCCCTTTAGAGCTTCAGTTACATTCTAGAGTAATCCTGTATCACTGGACCCATCCAAGACTCAAGCCCCCTTAATAATGGTTCATAAACCCATTCTTAGTTGGCCTCAAGCAAGAGCATTTCCTCCCACTTTCTGAAGACCACTGTCCACATTCATCCCAGGCAAAATTTGAATCATGTTTATGCAGAAGATTCAAAGCATGTTAAATGTCCACTTGAGGTGCAAATCCTGAACAGTTGAAAGCCAAAAACCTTGAATGCACTATGACCCTGTTGCAAGATACGATTGGGTGGAGAAGGGCATGTTGTTCAATCACTAAGACTGTTGTTCACAATGCCAAACTTGCTCTCACACTTTAAGGTAAGTGGCATGAGAATGTGTTTGCTTTAAGGAGTTAATGTAGGGGAACTGAACCCCTGTAGAGGACATCTTCTCGATGAGCTTCTGATTAATCAGCTCCACGTGCCTGCTGTTCTTCCTGGCTTGTCTGAGCAACCTTTTGACTTTCTTCACTCGATCTTGTAGCTGCTTATTGCGTTTCTCCAGGCTTGCCACCTTTTTCTGGAGCTTCTTCACTTGGTCCTCCTCATCAAACAATGCTTTCTGGATGGAAGAGCACATGAGCTGAAATGACAATGTACAAATGAATGCTAAGTAACAAAAATTCAAGGAGTTCTCTTATCTGTTTCATTGACTTGTACCTCATCACTAGAAGCTAAGCTAAGCTTCCAACCTGGGTTGATTTCATAGACTTGTATCTCAACACCACAGGCTTGTACCTCATTACTAGAAACTAAGTTAAATTTCCAATCTTACTTGATTTCATTAACTTGTAACTTTCCACCAGATTTCATAGACCTGTATGTTTCCAATCAGGTCAGTCCCTGTGCTTCAAAAAAAGTCCTGAACTCAAGGAGGAACATGGCTCTACACTGGTTAGAGACTCAGCAAGGATGTTTAAATCACAATTGCAAACTCGGGCAGACAAGAAATAAAGCATTTTTAAAACATATCATAGGGAAATAATGAGGACAATTTGCAAGCTTACAAAAAGAGCTAATTAATAGACTTCTTAAAAGAGAGTTGTAATAAAAAAAATAACAAACACACTGACACAGTACCAAACATATTGGCTTATTAAAACACCACTGAAGGTACTTGTTGGAATGACTCAGTCTGTATTACATTTTTCTGTAATTGCTATATGATCCATTTCTTTTTGTTTTTATTTCACCTTCTTCAAACACTGAGTAAGTATTTCAGCTCTAGGTGCAGTGCCAGCTCCAGGGCATATGGCACTCCTAGCCTACATTAACTGATGGCACCACCTCCTGCCGATGCAAGGATTTGTACTTTTTGAATGATTTAGAAGGAGGGCAATGTTGGCACCCCATAAGCTTTGGTACCCTTGGCCAACGCCTACCTGGCCTTAGCCTAAAGACAACCCTGTCTAGAGGGATGTGCCCATTGTCAGAAACATCAACCTGCCCCTGAAAGCAGTATTCTTGTACTCATCTTCTCTTTTCCACACTGTAGTAATGGAAACTGTCATGACGTTTTTCCCCATATCTTGATGATGTCAATGACAGACAACGTCTCCCCATCATAGCTCCATCCTTCACGTTAGTGAATGACATTTTATCGTGTAACAGAAGGAGAGAACTTGATACAAGATTCCATTTGTCAGGCTTGCCCCAGAGATAAGGATCATTTAGCAGAAAATTATTTATTTATTATATACACAGGACAGAAGCCATGTCAGATAATTGCCAACCTCTGAGTGGCTAGGAAAGATGGCATAGAATTTATACGTAGTCATATTTCAAGTCCTTCATGCTTTTTTATAGTGCTGCCACCTATGAGAAGTTCTGAGTTTCCTTTTCTCACTCATCCTCATCCTAACAATTGAAGATGTTTGCTTATTTACATTCTTTACTTTCCTGTTCCTCTGTCTAGCTATATAATACCTGCAAGTAAAGCTGAGATTTTCCTGTCACTAATGGAGCTATGATAGCATCACCCTCTCCTGTCCATTCTCAATCCCCTCTCCTCCAACCTACAAGGCAGGACCAGAAACCATCTCCCACTCCTCACAATTCAGCTGGCAGCCCCTTAGACCCAGTCACTGGATGATCATCAGAAATAGGAATCAGAGAGGCTTCTATCGCCTCAGTTCAGTTGTCCTCCTCCTCTATTAGAGCGGAGGCTTCCTCAACAATGGGAGCCTAGGGAGGATCATGGAGTCTCTCTTCTTGCTCTTCTCCTCATCTGAACTCCCTGAAGTTTCCCCCCACTCCTAGTGGCACCACTAGGTCCCACTCCTCCTTAGAGTCAGAATTACTGCCAACAGCAGTGGCCTTCTGATGTGACCAGTTGCATGACCTGGTCTATAAAGTCCTGCAAAGGAAAAGAAGAGAGGAAGTAGGATCCATGCATGTTATTGTGACTTCCCAGGAAAGATCAACTTTTGAGCAACCCTTCCAATGGTTCAGATAATCCATCCTGTCCCTCCCCACCATCCACTGTGATCAAAGAGTATGGGGCAGCAGAAGGGCGCAAGAGGCTGGGCAGTTGTTCCAGAGCTAGGAAGAGATTGCGGAAAACTGAGTTGGGTCTTCAGGGGAAGGAACGCACTGTGGCCTTCCAAATGTTGCTGAACTACAATTCCCAGTATCCATTGCTCTTAACTGTTGCTGGCAGTAAGTTGGATAATATGTGAAGGACCATAAATTGCCCAACTCTCAATCAGAAATAATTTATTCTGTGCTGTTTCTCTCTCTCTCTCTCTCTCTTTCTTTGCTACCTCTTGATTTGCCAGCAAGCTAGCTACTGAAGCAAAGGATGGAATTTTCAA